AAAGAGTCCTTGTTCACTTTGGAGTGGCACACGTCGTCACCCAACACCCGTGTGTGCAGGTTCCGTTTTTACAACGTTGTCTCGTCTTTCTGAACTCCATTAAATATAATTTCTTGCATTTATTTTTCCATTCGACTAAACAATGGTTTCGTCGAAAGAACCCTCTCTTTCCAAGAATGAATTATCATCGGCACAGTACATCATAAACCATCGATACATATTGTCGTTTCCTCTTGTGTGGTCACCAGAAATGCCTTGTTGTATCAAAATACTATATCATTTCTTCATATAGAGTTCAGAGTTCGTGTTTCAAAATTCTGTGAACTGAAGTTCTTGAAAGGTGGAGAATTTTTGTTGCTTTACTTTTTTAAAATTCTCTGTTGCCGTTAAGGGTCAAGTTTTCTATGGTAGCCCAACTTTGCTGCTCTTTCAATTGGTATGTTATAGATTCTCAGGATTTCTTTAACTCCCCCAATCCATTTTTTTTGCGTCGCGCACCTCTTCCTTTACAGCCGGAGTGCTTGGTGTTATAGACTCTCTAGGTTGACTGGCAAGGTGACATACGTAGCAGGTGACCAAACCTTTTACATATTCTCTGTTTTATAAGAAATGCAGGCTGGTCTCCGGGCCAATAGTTGCTCTTACTTCCTCAGTTCTCAGCCTGTCTCTTCGTGTGATGTTAACAGGGCCAAATTCATCTCGCGTGCAGTGATCTTGCTTTCATGGCTTCTACTAAATGTCCAGGTCTGGCACTGGTAACATAATATTGGTTTAAATATTGAAGTGATAAGCTGTCTCTTTGTGTCCATGGAGATGTTTAGATGAGACAGAAGGAGTGCACGCTGATGGATGATGATGCTGGTTTTTTAAAGTTCGTATTTCTATTTTTCTGTCTACTTTTGACATGATATTTTTCAAGTGCATATTATTATCAAGTCAAATTTCTCGCAGCTATTTTCAGTTTGGTTGTGTGATTTTGAATGAATAAGACATTGGTCGTCTGCAAAAAGAAGTTCATTAAGGCTTCCTGGGCTTTGGCTTGCATCTTGCGTCATTTTGTTCATGTTCGTCCTCCTTATTTATGTTGAGCCCTTCAATGTTTATACCGCTTCTAATAGAAACATTTGATTTCAAATTGTAGACAATGCATCACGTATAAAGAAGTTGCACGATTAGGTTGTGGTTTTGGAGATCAAAATAAAACAAATACGCCCCCACCCGACTAAAAAATAAATAAAAACCAAATAAAAAACAAAAAACAAACCACAACAACCCCTTCCCCCGCACGAGATACCATGTTTGTAAAGGAGCCCTTCCATATGCCCCCCCTCTCTCTCTCTCTCTCTCTCTCTCTCTCTCTCTCTCTCTCTCTCTCTCTCCCCCTCTCTTTCTCTCTCTCTCTCTCTCATCCCATATTTGACCTACATATTACAGTATTTGACAAGGAGATTTTGATGACGACTAAACTTTCATTTTCAAAGCTGGTTTCAGTCGCCGTCATAAATGTATTTTTGACATCTTCTTTTCTTATAAAGAGAGCAGGACAGCCTTTTTGTCAAAACTTTTCACAGTATTGACTGATACCCGATAAAGCCTTGTCCACTGTAGCGCCCGAAAAGCAGGCGACGTGCGTGCGGAAATGTATACGACGCGTTGATTTTAATAAGGAAGGAGATATGGTCCCAAAACGAACTCATTTTCATTATTATACAAAAATGCTTTTGGAAAGCGGAAAAGATGGCACATTTCTCACTTTTTTCAATTTTAAACAAACCAGTCTGTGAAGAGATATCTCTGTGTAAAGCAAAGCAAGCACATTATTTTCCCTTTTCTGAGCGTTCGTAGCACAATTTTACATTTTGCATGAAGGCGCTTGTGATGCACGATGGTAATGATGATGATGATGATGATGATGATGATGATGATGATGATGATGATGATGATGATGATGATGATGATGATGATAATGATGATGATGATGATGAAACAAGCTAAGACGTTGATAATAACTAGGATGATGATGGGAGGAGATCGTAAAGAGGAAGAAATAATTATATTTATGGTGATGACGAGGATGTCAACGACGACGAAAGACGAGAGAAGTGGAACCAATAAATAGCTATAATCTATAACGAATTCACTTATCTAATCTTAACCAATATTGTCCGCAGGTAACCATCTGAGAAACTTTGTCCGCTCTGTGGTGAAGCGGCAACTGGTCGCTTTAAATGGTGACATTTCTGACATAAAGGGAGCCTTGGCCAGCATACAGAATGAGCTGGCCAAGGGCAAGGGTGCAGCCTGCTCGACAGTGGTGAGTGAACGACAACACAGAAGTGGGCGGGTGGGTGAGTGAGTGGAAGTTAGCTTTGCAATCTTGGAATGGAGATTTTAGTAAGCATTTTAAAGTACTTGCAGCGTAATTAGGTCATAAGCGTGCGGAGGATAGATGTGCTACAGAAGAGTAGTAAAGAACACAAATAAGAAGGAGGAGAGATGAAGATGGAGGTTTGATAGCAAAGAGGGTGTAAAGCACACCAGAGTACCTGCTGCCAATCACCAACTGGGAATCATGTAGAATCGGTGTGCACAGGCGGCATTTTTATAGGCGAGATATCTCCTAAGACACTGATGTCATCATTTATATTATCTCATATAGATTCAAGTAACTCACTCCTCATACACAAACAAACAGAACCTGTAAATAAACCACAAAGACATCAGAACTAAGCTCGAAGAGTTATTTCCAAAAGGTCTATTATTGAATCCTTTCTCTACCTCTCTGTCTTTTTGATCCACTCTTTTCAATCAGCTTCTGTGTCGCTACCTTTTTCTTCTCAATGTTTCAGTCTTCTCTCCAATTTCTGGACAACCACCCCTCCTCCCCCCCCCCACCCAAATGATGATGATTTTTTGTTGTTTCCTTAATGGGCCTGGCGAGCTCCACGAAGAAATCTTCGAGCGAGAGCGGAGCTCTTTTTCGGCTCCATTGTCAGTATGCTTAGCGACACCTCCACTCGTCCAAATAACTCTATTCGAAGTGCCATTGTTCCTGGACATTCAAACATATGTTTGACATCCTCCTATTCATTACTGCATCTTCGGCAACATGGGCTGAGTTCTTCATTTACAAAGTTCTTATACCATCTTAAACTCCAATGATGGTCCGACCGCAGTCTCGCTAGCTCAACCTGGTCCCAGCGACATGTGATATTTTGTTCCCGCTTATAGGAATACCCAGAATACACATCTTCCAGGTGCTGGTACTTAACTCTACATGGTGGGTCTCTGATTTCCCTCTTGATCATTGGTTATGATGATGATGATGATGATGATGATGATGATGATGATGATGATGATGATGATGATGATTTGTTTATATTAAATCTTTTGTCTGTAAATCAAGCACGACTCTCCCTCCTACTTTTATTTTTAAACAATTATGATGATGATGATGATTGATTGTCTATTGTGCATTGTCATTGTCTATCAGCAGTCCGGCTGGGGGCCCCCGTTTGACGTGTTTGGGAAAGGCGCTCAGTACTATTTGGCTTTCCGCGGAACGGCCGGCGCGGGCCCCTCGGTCTATGACACTTACATCGGCAAAGGACGAGAGCGTAGCATTGAAGCGTGCTGTAGACAGGTGAGGATACTCAGTGCCGGTTCGTTTTACAGTCTACCGCGGTGTTTCTGTTCTACTTAATATACTTAACACTCTACCTCCGGACCAGTCTTACAACTCGCCACCTGAGAAAGTTTTATCTGCTCAGTACCAAGTTTTTAGAAATTTGCCGTCAAAGATTGTGAGTTTCACATTATGCCAAGCTTCTCCGAACGCAGTTCTTTGAGTATCTTGACAACGACATCGAAAAATCGTATCTTACGATTTTGATAGAGCAAGATAGTACGTTTGGTTTCTGACCTCATGGTCTTAGTAATTGAAATAAAAAAGTCAAATAGAACGTTGTAATTCCGAGGAAGACGACTGTTTCACTTGACGGTCTCCTAATCAGCTGGAGCCCATAATAGGCTACTAAACATTGCTCAACCCCACCCTCACCTCCTAACACACCGACCCACCTCATTTTGTGCCCATACAGACTTGGGACTGTCACTGGTTATATTTTAAAAAATCATTGAAAGAAATGCACCACGGTGTGGGTATGGTAGTACAAAACTACCATGTGTAAGCCTTACAGGAAGAGGCATTATCGTGGAAGTTCGCCAGGTAGACATTGGTCAGTAAGGCGGGACCTACGGTAGACCGTCACGTGGAGCAGCGCCAGATGTTCTCTGTCGCCAAGGTTTCACTTGACAAAATGCTGTTTTCATATTATTTTTATCATTATGATTTTTTGAGCATGCTGAACCTGCGTGGACAGCACGATTTTCGCTAAGCTGAAAGTCGTCACGTGTTGTAACGTGCAATGTAAGTCTGGTCTAAAATGCGCACGCTTTGCGATTAAGCTACGTCAGAAGTGGGAGGCTGGGAGTGATATTGTTTCTGAATGCCGATGTGTTTGTTCACAACGAACTTACTTGCTTAAGCCAGCCGAAATCCCTCAAGATCAAACGACTTTTGCAGAAGCCCCCAGTATAAGCTCGGATCGTATTGGTCGATTGTACATAGTTTATGCATCCATCAACCAAGTTTTGATCGTTTAGAAATAGGAGGCTGGCTGTTTAGACCTTGTCTGTCAGGGCCAAGCCGGGATGAATAGGACACAACATCCTCACCAGAAGACGGAGGTACTGGTACTGGACATCATAACTTCTAACTGAGGCTTTCGAACCACGCTCTCTGCGTGCAACAGTAAACAGCCACTACATTTACACCACAGACAGGGGTCGTCAACAATTCAATTCAGTGTTAGGTAGACCAGTTCTTCATCAAGAGTCAAACATCTCATTCCCATAGATTATTGTTCATCGAGTTCTCTATCAAATTAATATTTTTCTTTCTTTTTTTTTCGCCAGGTAAACGGATCACTTCCTTGCTCTGGGCATTACCGTAATGCGGGCATCTTGGATAACTGGCAGAATATCGAAGAGGTAGTCGTGGCTCTGTATGACCGTGGTGTCCTCAAACAGTCCTTGACCTTTGACGCCGCCGGCACAGACTACCTGTCCTGGTTCAGTGCTGCCAATCTCAAGGACCCTGGAATTTGGCGAGATCTGCAGAGAAAACACACCAACTTTTTCTCTATTACTGGGGATCAGCGTTATGAGCGCCCCTTCTTCATTAACAACAAATACGGTGGATGTCCAGGTGATAGTGGTTGGTTGGTGGCCGCGGATCACCAGCGTCATCCATGTCCTTGGGAAAAGCATTCATCTTACCCACAGTTCTTATACAGCAAGGACAACGGACCTACACATTGGAATAAAAATGAGAAAATCGATCGAGCTGACGTCCTGGCAATTTTCGTTAAGCCATACAACGGCTGCAACAGCCAGTAACTTCTTAAAAATATAACCGGATTCTTTGTTTTTATCTTTTTTCTTAAAATCTAAAGAAGTAAAATAATCTACTTCAACGAAAATGATGTAATTTAACTGTAATTAGTGAATTAGAGTAATGGCCCTTAAGTTAAAGAAATAAACAAAAAACATTTAACCATAAGAAATAAATATATTGCTGTCTGTCTTAAGTACATTATGGCGTGCAGAGAAAGATGTTGTAGAATCCATGTGCATAAAGCACTGTTACAAGTTCAATATTCAACACATGTAAACATTTTTAAAGAAAGCTGAGGTATGAATAAAAGAACTCAAAATCATTCATTTCGTTAGTGCCGAGAAAGACTCAATGTTGTGTTGATTCTCAGAGTGAATTTGTACTTTATTAACAAACACTCACAGTTTTTTTCGTTCCTTTCTTTCGCGATCACTGATGCACGCATGCCTCACGAATTGTACTAGCTGAAAGATCTTGGAAAGGTTACATAACAAGCCAAAATAAGACATGCAACCACTTTAACGACACAACAACACACTTGGACATACTTTCTGTTTACGTTGGTCTGTGGTACCTGGATACCTAGAGGTGTCATCTCTGACCCAGAGGTTGACGTTTATTGACCCTCCATCTTTCACGGTCGTGAGCTGCCGTTGCACATTCTGCCATATCCAGTCCAGTCCATGTTCTTATGTTGTCCTTTCACGTTATTCTTTGCCTTCCTCTGGCTCTCCTGTCCCACATCTTTCCTTCAAGTACTTCTTTCACAATGGTCTCGTGTCATTTTAAATGGCCATAGTGTTGTATGTTTCTACATTTTATTTTGCTCAGCAGGGTCTGTCTTGTGTGTATAAAGGTCTGTGGTATGTGGCTTATTTTTATCTGTGGATTGGTCTAAAATAGTTTTCTATGCATTCATAGATAAAAGTACTACGTCTTGAAGTCGTGTATACTCGGGTACGGTTGGACGGGTCACAAAGCAATTTATCGCACAGGAACCATGGAATGAAGCTCTAAACTATACAAGTTTGCTTCGAGGCGAAATAAGACCCTTAAAAGCAGAAAAAATTACGTTGAAGTGACACATGTTAAAAATTAAGCTTTAACACAAATTATTTATTGTATCATTTCTCTTCCCTTTAGTGGATTCTCCAGAAACACCTGCCGTTACAGAAATACTTGAAGGAATGGACATGGACGTTCTTGTGAAGTTAGCCCACGACGTTGGGCACTTAGTCAGAGCAGCTGTCTGTGGACTTTTGTCACACAACGTGTACCTCATTTGTGGATGTGTACGCCTTTTAAGGCTACCACTTGCCACAATGAGAAAACTTTCACAGAAAAGGAACTTCTGTTAAGGCCGGGCTGGATATCTGAGAGTTCATCTTCCAGAACTGGCTGTTCCTTTGTAGAATGTTTCCATAGCTCAGTTCTCCTCCGTCCAAGGAATCCACGCTCAAGGTCACGCCCCTGAAACGGAAAGCGAGAGGGCGTGCTTTCAGGGAGATTTGGGGGAGGGGGTGGGGCGTGGTTACAATTGCTACGCGTTTAGGAGAATGTCAATTTCTCAAGCTCGCACTTGGAGCCTAAGTCGCTCTCTATTTAAGAGCTCGTGGAATCTATGAACAATGAAAGAGTATGGTAGTGAAAATTTAAATGCGTAAATAATAACGTATAGGACATTAACATCTCTTAGATGCAAACAATTTGTTTCTCACAAAGGAATTTCCGAGGTGATAATGAGGACTTTCAAGGAGCTTTTGTGACTTTGGTAACTTACTGCAATGAAATCATTACTTGTATCAAGAAATATAGCGGTGCGGTTAATCTATTTCTCTTTACTTTGTCAAGTTTGACCAAAACGAAAACCCCTGTTACGCAAAGCAGATCTTCATCCACGTCAGAAGTGGTATAATATACGAAAAGATGGAGACAACTGTTTTGATTTTGTTTTTGTTTTTCTAAATTTGAAATGAAATACAAAAAGGTATCCAAACCCTTTTTGTTAGGAACAAATGGTAAATTGCTCTGGAATGCTTCAGTTAGTTCGCAAAATGAATGAATCATAATATCACGTATCTTTGTCTTATACTTCATAAGAGACAGGTTGATAGAACTGTCCCGAGATACTGGGGACATTTCCAACTAGCGACCATGTTCTCCACCAAATACACCCCAGCTCTTATCCTTTCTTCTATTTGTTGTTTGAGAAAAGAGAAGTACGCCGACCAGACGACTGTCTTTTAGTGCTGGGACAGAATAAGACAGACAGACAGACAGACAGACAGACAGACAGACAGACAGACAGACAGACAGACAGACAGACAGACAGACAGAAACAACTGAGGTCACGAAGAGAACTAGTGGCGCCCTCTGACAACACAAACATCAGTTCTTAGCACCTCGCATGTTGCAAGGCTAGACTGATACTTTTATTAGAAAAAGAACCTTTTCTTTTAAGACCTTTTAAAGGCGATTTAAATAACTAGTTTCTGAGAAGAAAAAAAATCACTACCCCCCCCCCCTTTCCTCGAACATTAATATAAAGGGGAATAACTATGGACCAGGTATATGACCCGATCGTATATGCCAGTTTTGTCCCCTTGTAACATTCTTCATCATCATCATCATCATCCGGTACCTTGCCGACTGGCATGGGCGATCATGGACCTCCACTTCACCCAGTCCTTCGCTGCAGCAATGGTGTCTATTGTTCTTGTAACATTAAGTTCGTCAAAACAAGACTTAATTCTGTGATTTCAGCATATTAATTATGCACAGCGTGTGTGTGTGTTTGTGTGTGTGTGTGTGTGTGTGTGTGTGTG